CCCACTAGGAAAGGTAAAAATGCCAACATGAGTCATTTATGTTGATGAACATCACTGACAAAAAAGAGAATACTCAGACCTTTTGAGGATTTGGGGCAAAGGTTGTGAATTAGCATCGATCCCTTGCTCGAGCAGGAGCAGGTGGGGTCCAGATGATAAACAGTGTCCCCGCTCAGGCACGGTCCACACCATGTGCTCTGAGACCGCGGCCACACCCAGGGGTTATTTCCCCGTCTGTACACACATCATAAAACGAAAGCGAGCAGCCTTTGAAGTTGATGAACGCGCACATTGGTTTCTGGCCCCGGGGAGTGAGTGAGGAGGACCGGCAGGAGACCTGAAGCTGCCCCACGCCAAGGTGACGCACAAACACCACACGACATCCCAAGGAAGATGGAGGAGACGAGTGTCACCCTAAAAAGGCTTAAAGAATACAGGAGCAGGTGGCCCCACCTGCTCCTGCTCGAGCAAGGGCCACCCGTTTGGCTCCTGAAATAACTGGAGAGATGGCGATCGTGGCAGATGGCAGTGGTCTACCACAAACGTGACCAAGCGTTAACTCCGATGGCGGCTGCATGTCCCACACGGTAACTGCGTAGAGCAGTTGGACACAGCCCGAGGCCGGCGGCACGCAGCCATCATTAACCTGGTGAGTGCGCTGTTTTCCACCCACTCAGGTCAGAAGGGAGAGGCAGCAGCGCTTTGCTTCCCTGTGGGAAGGACAACAATATACACGTGTGCTCTGCCCCAGGAGTACGTCAAGTCTCTGGCCCTCCGTCATAGTCTGCTCTGAAGGGACCTTGACTCCGGACATTTTGAAGACCATCATATTGGTCCACTACACAGCAGGTCCTTGAATAATGTAAGGTTGATGAGATGCCATGGGAACCTAACTCTTACTGATGTCAATTGGTCTAGGGTAAAACCGATCATGTTATATATACATCATTTCGCTGACAGTTACAGAACTTATCGACGGTGACATGAGGACATGCTGTCCAGGCAGGTTGTGGAGATAGAACAGGTTCAGTTTCAGGCCACCACAAACAAAATGAGCATTGCAATAAGGTGAGTCATAATCTTTGCTGCTGCTGGAAGATCTTGCCTTTGATTGGTAAAAAATGTGACATCTGTAAGGCACAATAAAACAAGGTGTGCCTGCACGTGACACATTGTCCCTATCAGATCAGAAGGGCAGGGAGTGGCAAGCACGCTGGAGGCCCTGGAGAGACACATGGATTCAGAGAGCGAGGAATAAACACACCAAGATTCAGGAAGCCACCACGATGGCGAGGTGCTCAGAGGTCCAGTGGCCTGGGACATGGCGGGATAGCCTTCCAAGGTAAAGAATCAATTATTCCAACTCACACCTTCCACCACTACGAAAGAAGCATAATACCGATTTCCTAGGATTCTGGAGCATTTAATGTTTCACACGATATGTTTCTGACCAAGTTACCAGCTGCCACTGAAGGCTGTCAGCTCTGAGTGGGACCAAAAGCAGAAAAGGCCTCTGCAGCCATGTGACCCAGCAGCCCTGTAACGGGACATCTGCAGTAGGCAAAGATGCTGGGTGTTTTGGCAAACTCCAGTGAGAGAATCGTAATATAGACGCCCAGAGCTCGGGACAAAGTCATGCCGGCTGTGTCAGAGAAACACATAGCATTTGCAGAGCACCCTTGGGTGCTGCTGGGCTCGGTAGAAGAGACACTGACTGCAATTTATCAAGCGACCAAGTGGCCAGACCTGCCCCTCACGAACTGAACTGTCAGACCCTCCATGTCACTAGGAAGGCTGGCTCGGCAAGAACACGTTTGTGACGTGGAAGGGGCATCTCTGGGATGAGGTATAAGCAGGGGCGGAGGGTGCACGCGAGCTGCAGAGCAGGCGGCCTCGACCCTCATGTCATCCATCGGCCTTGCACTGGCATCTCTCACCCTCGGCTCACACCTGCGACCCTACTGGGGACTGTCTCAGTCCATTCAGGCTGCTGTGACAAAATGCCATCGGCCAGGTGACTTATAAACGACAGAAAGGGATCTCTCACAGCTCTGTCGGGTGGGAAGTCCAAGATCGAGGGGCCAGCAGATTCGGTGTCCGGCGAGGGCCCACTTCCTGGTTCGCAGACAGCTGTCCTCTTTTGTCCTCACGTGGCAGAAGGGAGCTCTCCTGGGTCTCTTTTATCAGGGAACTAATTTGATTTATGAGGGCTCTGTGCTCGTGACCTGCTCCTCTCCCAAGGGCCCATCCTCAAAATGCCATCTCGGCGTGCTTAGGCTCCAAGGCGGGGATTTGGCGGGGTGACAAGAACATTCGGTCCACGCGGGGCACCCTTGTGATGAGGGGCCAGAGGCCGGAAGCATCTGGGCTGGCGTGGGACGGCGGGGTGCCGGGAAAAGCCACAAACTGCGGCCCCGTTGCAGCGTCAGGAGCAGCCCCAAAGGCGGCAGAAAGAGAAGTCCTCCCTGGACAGCTTGGGCAGAACATCTTGTCGTCTACTTTGTGGAAAGAGGCGAGGAGGCTGAAGGGCGTGGGGAGCCACCGCGTCCCCCTCGCGCTTCCTCCTGGCACTTTGAAGGCAGCTTAGCGTTACTCTCTTACTCTCGTACTTTCTCAAGTCGTATGCGCTCATCACCCTTCAACCAGCCTCGTGTCCGGGGCGAGGAACGTGTCTTTGACCGGGAATACGACCCCGAGAGAGAATTCTGACAATCTGTGGAGGTGGGATTTCGTGGCTCCATGGTGGTGGTGGTGTGGGGGGATCTTACTATTTAGTGATCAGAGGCTAGATATGCTAAACATCCTGTAAGACCCACAACGAAGCCTTGTTCTATGTCCCTCATGACTCCAGCACGTCCTACCCCATGCGCACGCTGGTGAGAAGCTCGTTTACGATATGAGCTCAGACTGTTTTACATATAAACACGACGTCTTGGGTAGCGGTTTTAACGTACGCTGACTCCTCCAGTGTAAACTGAGGGGAGGAAGCGTTTTGTTTTGTTTGACACGTCAGCAAGGACCAGTCATCATTTCAGAAAAACATGTTAAGTAAGACTACATTTTCATGGTATCTGGGTGGCTACGTGACATCTATATTGGTCAGGATATTTCATTATGGAGGCTAACTGTGCCTGAGCATTTACATATCAAAAAACCTACTATTTTATTATAAATTATTCCTTTTATTTCTCCTTTATAGAAAACCTAAGAGTGCACACATGTATATGTAATTATTAAACACATAGATAATGTTATCAACACACTTCATTTCAGGATACTAAGTAGAGCGTTACCATTTTTTCATGTATAAAAGGCAATGCTGGTGGGAATCCTGGGAAGACAGCAGTGGCAACGAAAGCCTAGTTTTTGGATGTTCTTGAATCTCTTCATAAAAAGATTGAACAAATAGCAAAATCAGAGGCCAATTAAAAACATGGGCCAAAACAGACAAACAAATAAATAAAATAAAAACATTTACAACAGAACTAATTGACAAAGGGTACTTCCGAACCCTGCAGTAAAAGCGGGTGTGGACAGCAGTTATCAGCCGTGCACGGTATCAGTGTCTGTACAAGGAGCAGAGACTAGCAGCAGCGTGACCCTCAGGCACTGCCTGGAGAGCTCTGCAGGTCAGTTTCAGGACAGCTGAAACTGGCATGGACTTTACTCCTCCACTAGGGGGCGATTTCGAGAGGTCTCCAGATGGTTTGAAGGGGCTATAGCAGTCAGGGCCCTGTGAACTTTTCAAATTGACCTACCTGGTCTCCCTTCCGGAATGGGGCCCCACATTGATGAGAAATTGCTTGCCAGTTAAAAAAAAACAATTACTAGGATTTTGATAGAAATTGCATTCGATCTGTATGTAAATTTGGGCAGAATTGCTATCTCAACAATATTAAGTGTTTCAATCCATGAACATGGTATATCTCTTTGACTTAGATTTTCACTTCAGCGATTTTTGTAGTGTTCAGTGTTTAGCTTTTACACTTTTGTCAAAGTTACTTTATTCCTCTCTAAAGACTGTGCTTGCCATTGCTGCCACTACCATTATCTAGGGCTTTGGGTGCATTCGGACACCGAACCCGGTAGACCTGGTGGCCACGTCACTGAGCCTTTCCCTTGGGTGAAGGGTGGTGCAGGAGGTGGGGTGGTGGCAAGGGCTAAGTGCTGCTCCAAAAACTTGCCTAACTCCTTTGAAGCCGATGGGTTAAACTACGTAAATAGGAAAAAAAATCATCTCAGATCTCCCTTCAGCTTACCCTGGTGGACTGACTCCTTGACTGCAACTTTTTGGTTAAAAAAAAAAAAAAGCTTTGGGCTTTTCAAGGTTATTGAAAAGGTACTCAACGAACGGCCCCACTTATTGAGCGAAGTGAGAAGAGCCACAGACATATTAATGGGTGTGTGGGTGTGCAATGCCTTACAGGTATCTAAACTCTACCCTAGAAGGATATGTATGTACAAAAGCCATGGATAATGGTCCTTTTATTCACGTGACCTGCAAGGTAAATGAGATCCTGCAAGGATTGAGCTTGATCGAGTCTCAATGCTGTTTGATTTAGGTCCAGTTTCATTTTATTATTTTTTTTAATGGGATTTATTGGGTGAGAGGAGGGTATGCTTTACACGGAGACACTGTTCTTCTCATCCCTACTGGAGTGTGGGTTTTGGCTGATGAGTTCCTATCAACAGCCTGCTCTGTGCAATGGGCCAGTGACTGGCACCAAATTCTAGTCTTGTTCCATTGACATTGCCCTATTTTGATTTCATGAGCTTTTGGCTAGGGGGCTGATCGACCCAAGGGATTACAAAAACTCCCTGTTAACAAAGGTGTTTATTAACCCAACAAATAAGCTGGGTGCCAGGCACTGGGCACAGGGTGGTGAGAAAAAAGAAAATGGTCCCTGTGCCTCGCTGCTGACAGCCAAGTGAGGGAGGGACTCATTTTTGACATAATCTATGGGCTGTTTTAAAGCTTTGGGGTTGCCTGTTTGTGTCTCTGAGAGGTCCTCGGTTTTTAAAAAAGTCACCATCTTTCTACTTGGTTATATTCCAGCTGGCTTATTGTAAGAGGGGTGATCACGCAGGAAGAATCAATTGGGGGGAAAAGCAATGGGCTGCTGGATATGGGAGCTTAATGGCAGACTTCAGCAGTGGATTTTCACAGGAGTAGTGTGTCCCGATCACAAGGTGCCTGCGCTCTCTTCCACATGGCTGTCGCCCATCTCCTCCTTCCCATCAGTGACTTACTCAGTCCTTCCTTTACCCAAAAGACATCTGAATTATAGTTGCGCAGTGACATAGTGACTCAAACTCAAACAAAATTTTATTTTATTCCTTATCACATTATGAATGGAATTGTTCCTTTAATTTCATATTCGGATTGCTGTGAATATACAGAAATCTTTTTGATCTTATATACGTTGATCTTGTATCCTGAAACCTTGCTGTACTGTTACTACTAGTAATTTGTCGTTGTTGACGTCTTAGAATTTTTTTCTACACACAAGGTCACGGCGTCTGTAAATAGCTTTATTTCCTCTCCATTCCACATCTTCCACTGAACGAAATTTCTGGCGTCACGCACCAGCTAGAACCTCCAGGACAATGTTGGAATCGTGTGGTAAGAGCAGCTATCTGGGTTTCCTTCCTGATCACAGTTGGAAAAAGCATGTCTTTCGTCATTCAATGTTTGGTATAGGTTTTTGCTGATACACCTTTCATGTCTAAATATTATGCTCTCACATTTAATGCATCGTTTTCTTGGGTATATACATCCTAGCTTGGAAATAATTTTCCTTCGGTATTTTAAAAGCCATGCTCCACTGTCTTCTAATTCCGGTGTTGCTGTTAATGCTCCACTGTCTTTTAATTCCGGTGTTGCTGTTAAAAGTTAGAGAACATTCGTTCCCTGACCCTCTGTACGTGACCTCGCTTCCCACTCACCTTCAGGCTTCTCCTGTCTCGAGCCTTCTGCAGTTTCACACGCTGAGCCTTGGAGTGGGTTTATTTTCATCCTTGGTGTCTAGCGTGCGGTGGGTCCTTTCGGGTTAGAAAGTGATAATCCTTTACTTCTGAGATATTTCCTTATTTCGTGGATGATTTATATCATTCTAGTTTTTTTTTTTTTTTTGACTCCCCAAAATTTGTTTTGTTTACTCCTCTTTTGTAGCATTCTGTTCTGGTTTTATGAATACGTCATCTCACATTTCAAAGGACAGTAAAGACTTGTGTCCTTGCTAAATTTTCATCTTTCTGCACAGTCTGTTTCTTCCAAGGTGCTTCTCTTTGGTTTGTGTCCATCCTTCATGATGGAGGCTGTCCACAGATGTCTGATAATCTCTGGCTTCTCCATCTGTGAATAGGGTGGTACTCTAAAGACCATCTGTATTTATATACTAGAAGAATTTTGTTAAAAAGGTGGGAGGACTTGTACTGATAAAGATAACTACAGTATTTAAAAGTGTGATACAGGCACAAAGGTGGAGAAATAGATTAACAGAAGAGAGTAAAAAGCCCCGCACGGGGTTATGTATGTTGTGTGTATTTATAATATTTGTGTGTGTGTGTATTTTTTCCAAATGGATATAAATTGGTTTCCTAATTCATATCATATAGGAAGACAAATTCCAGGTAGATTTAAACACCTAAATGTAAAAGGCAAAACTATAAATCTTACAGGGAATAAAAGACAGCATCCATTTAACCCTGGGTTAGGAGAGATTTCTAAGATATAAAGAGCATTAACCATAAACGAAAAGATAAATTTGGCTACAGTAAATCAAATTCTGTTCACCAAAATATATAAGAAAATGAAAAGACAAAACTTCTTTACTATCACTGTTCTCCGTTCCCGTTGTGTGCCTCTTTAGAAAATCTCCTTCACTGTCATGTTAGTAGGATTTTCAGAGGCGACAGAGGTAAATAAACTTGTAGGACCTGCTGCTCTAAACCACAGGGCTAAAATTTTTTTGAACGAGAAGATGATCCAGTAATGTCTGTGCTTAGTTACAGTTTCTCTTACATTAACAAAATGAAAGCGCAGACAACAAAGGAAGACCTTTTACCCACAGGCTTCCTTAATTTATCTCGCGAACCATTCAATCACCGCGACCCCACACCCAGGGAAGCAGTCAGCCCTGCACGTCCACACACACTTCCGATGCAGCTCCACCTAGAAATTCCCCGGAATTACGGCCAGTGATCCCGCCTCCTCCACAGCCAACATGATTTCCTCCGGGCACCTGACCCCGACTTATCGAATCGGGTTCTGGGAGTGGAACGAAAAGCTAAGAAACAAGAAGGTCGTGAGCCAAGATAACTTGGGAAACCCTGGATGGTGCTAGAAAGTGGAACAGCCTTGACAAAACCAAGACTGAAGAATTAGCATAAATAAAGGTTTTATTGGTCAGTCTGAGTGAGTGATGGACTGACATACCCACGATTCACTTTTCCACACACCCAAGGCCCTGAGGTGGCAGGAGAAGCTAAGCCCGTCGACGCCGAGCAAAGGGTGCGAGGTGGACAGAACCAGAAGGCCTCTGAGGGTCAACAGGACTACCGGGACCGGAACCAACGGCCAAGGAACAAGTCCAGGACGGACGAGGCGTCATCGTCCAGGGCTGGAGCTGCTGGTGACTCTGGATCTGAGGAAGAAGCGAGACACGCAGACACGCTGAACGGCAGAGGCGACGAGAGGATGCGACTGCAGCGCGGAGGCGTGACGTGTCCCTTTCCCAAGGACTCCGAAGATGGCCACTCACCGTCTCTGGGACTGCCGTCTGCCCCCTGACGGGTGACTGTGGTCTCTGTCCGGCCCTCGCTGTCCACCACGGTCCGGCGCTCCTCTACCATCTACAAGGAGAAGCCCCGCCGCGCCCCAATGTCACCAAAGGCGGGTCCCGCTGGTTTCTTCACACGGATCCCTTTCCAGGGCACCCGCTGGCCAATCCCCTTCCCCCTCCCCCAGCTCACCCCGTCCGGCCTGGTGATCTTGGTCACAGAGACGCTCTTGAAGTAGGATTTGGGCTGGGGCTGCAGAACCGGGCCGAGGCCCTCCTGGGAAACCTGGGAATCAAGATCTACAGGAGGAGAGAGAGGAAACACTCTCCGACACCCCTCCAAAGAGTCTGCGGGAGAGAAGGGGACGAGCGCGGCACGAAGGGATTCGAGCAGGGAGGACGAAGGGAGCTGGCAAACGTCCTCTCCCTGCAGACTCACCCTTGTCCTCTCTGGCTCTAGAGTGGGGGGTCAAAGGCCACATATCGTCCAACTGCAGAAGAAGCCAAAGTACATGAAATGACACTTTTCGATCTGAAACTTGAGGAGTCACAGGAACCCGAACTCTTCCCAAGTTCCAAAACCACCGTTTCCCGGGAGATAAGCCCATCCAAGACCCTTTACTCACGCACCCCTTCCTCCTTCCTAGCTAGTTCACGAGTCCTTCTGCCAGAGAGCCCACCCGGACCTATGCTTTTCTGTCCTGTCCCAACTACCCTGCCTCGTCCGAGAATCATACAGACCAGTGGTGAGGGTTTTTTTGGTGACTTTTGTTTGTTTGTTTTTACAGGAGCAGAACTCCCATTTTCCCCCCAAAAAAATCCAACAAGCAGCTTGATACAGAAAACGACACACTAAGCGGAGGGCCGAGGGTTCCAGCCCGTGCACATGCGTGTCTCCCGCGGGCTCGCATTTCAGGCCCAGACGTACTCACCTTACGAAAAGGTCTCTGGGAGCCCCAGTCTGGTGCTGGTTTCGGGGAGTCACTTTGTGTATCACTCTCCGACACCCCTCCAAAGATCCTGGGCTGGTGACTATCTGGATACTTCAGCATCGAGTCCCGAAGGGTCTGTCCCTCCTGCCGTCTCTCACCAGGTGTCTCTGACTCAAGACCGGGGAGTTCTGCAGAAAGGTGGCGGGTAGATGAACGCTGGGGGTGGGAGAGAGCTGGATCTTTTAACCCCTCCTGAAGTCATCAGTCTCCTCACACTGGCCAGCGCGGACCCCCCCACCCCCCACCCCCCACCGGCTTTCTCCAGGCTCCTTATTTTACCAACAAGCCAGCAGAAACCACAGGCCCACCCGCCCACCTCCCTCCGGGGCAGCCACGCACCAGGGGGCCGGGAAGGCAAGGTCCAGGCTCCCATCTCGCTGAAGATGCTGTTGAAGTCCCGGAAGAGGTCATCGAAGCCGAAGTTGTCATGGAAACGCATCCCTCCTCCCGGGCTGAAGCTGAAGCCAAAGGCAAACTCCTCCGGGGACTGGGGACCCTCCTCAAACCTCGCGCTCCCAGGGCCCCACGAGGCTCCTTCTTCTTCCTCGTCGTCCTCATCTTCATCTCGAGTCATCCCTCCAAAAAAGGGATCTCTGCGGCTGGGGGTGGAGGCAGATTGGCCACCAAAAATTCAGCACTACTTAAACCAAAAAGTCGCCCCGTGCGGGGCAAAATGGAAGAGTCACAGGAGTCTGGGCAGTCGAGGTGAGGGTCAGAAGGCTGGCCATCGGGGTTCGGTTTCGCTTTAGTTTGTAATCACAGTCAGTCCTCCCCTCGGCTTTCCTTCGGCGTCCCCCGGGCCCGCCCCTCTCCCCAGGTGCTGCTCGCTCGCTCACTGCCCTCCTCCCCAGAGCCCCATTGTCTCCCCCGCCGGGCCCTGTTGCATCACCCCAGGCTGGAGAAAAGCTTAAGCTGCTGTTTCTCCTCCTCTTAACGACCGCTTGGGTTCCTCCTCGGGGTGAGTGCTCAATGTGGTGACTTCTGTCCTTGCCGCAGGAGTTGGGAGTGGGGAAGAGGATGTTTTTCCAAAAGCAGGCTGTTAGGGGTCGAGCTCCCCTCCGAAGACCCCGCCCCCCGTCCGACCCGGACCCGTCCTCACCTCCGAGGTCCGGAAAAGCCGAAAAAGCCGCGAAAGAGGTCAAAGAGGCTCATTCCCGCATCGGGACTCGAACCACCGCCCCCACCGGAGGCCCATTCACGCCGCGGGCCGCCTGCGCTCCGCCGTCGGAAACGGAGACGCGTCAGCCCGCGGTGCCGGAAAGCGGGCCTGCGAGGCGGACACTGTCGTAAACGCGCCGGCGCGGACGCGGGTGGCGCTCTCGGGGGCGAAACGCTCTGCTCCGCGGCTGTTTGCCGGGAGGGCGCGGGCGTCTGGACTGTCCCGCCCCAGCGACCACCTGCCTCCTGAGCCGGCCCGGCCCGTGACGTGTTCGGAGGATCCGACGCTAGACGGAGCCCGGCCGAGCCGCCGGGGGGCCGCCCGCCCTTCCCCGGCCGTTCCTCGACTGACCCGAGTCTAAGAGGGACGGGCAGTGCGTTTCAGCAGGCTCCTAGCACCGAGTCCCCCGGAGCTGGGACCCGCGGGGACACCCGCACCCCACTCGCTCCGTCCAAGTACCGAGTTTGTTCCGGCCACAGGGTTCTGTCGACGCCCCTGGGCAGGTTCTGCGACCGGCCGAACAAGGGTTTCGCGGGCGAGGGGAACCCAGTGGGGAGACTCGGGAGGAAAGTGGGAACTTGGGGCTCCGGGCATCCCCACCCTCCCTGCACCCCCACCGCAGCTCCGCCCAGTCTCCCTCTAGACTCCGGTTCGGGGTGGGGTGGGGTGGGGGTGGGTGTAGCTACCGAAGCGTAAGCACTGGCCGCCGTCGCCCGCCCGCAGAAGGGGGCCCCCCATTTCCTCCTGCGGCCCCTGCGCGGTGCCCTCCTCTCTGCTCGGCTGCCCCTCAGCCCCTCCCTCCTGCCCCCGTCCACCCACATCCGCTACCCCACCCCTTGTACTGGCGCAGTCTGCGGTGGAGGTGGCATTTCTGGAGGAAATGAAGATTGGTGGTGGCTCCTTCCAGGCAACAGGCCGTACCATTCTCGGGGAAGGAGGGAAGGGAGCCCCCCTCAAGGTCAAGACACTAGCGCATTAAGGTCAGGAGTTCTTAAAGGGCGAAGATTTCACTTTATTCCACTGCCTTCGGGGCCTGCTAGAGGCGGCCCAGGTGGTAGAGTAATACTTATTCACCAAGCTGGTCATCGACGAGACTGAGGATGGCCTAGACGGAGCAAGAATGGGCAGAGGCTGAAGGTAGAGGTTTTCTTTTTATATATACAAGACACATTAATCCATTAAATTTGAGGACACAGTACAAAAAAAAAAACTTCAACTAATTCATCTGACAATGCTGTTCATATTCATGACGCCATTTTTTTGTTGTTGTTGTTTTGTTTCCTAATAATAAAGGAGGAGACACAGGGCTGTTGGGCTGATATATATTTGGGGGTCCCCCCTCCCCCGTCCCCCATACACCACCAGGGTGAACAGGAGGAGAAGGAAGGGCAGGGCCCACAGCAAAGTTTCATAATCTTGAATGCAAGGGGAAAGGAGGAGAGGAAAGGGAGAAAAGAAAGGAGAAAATACAAATCCTATCATACATACAACAGAGTGGGGTGGTGTGGGAATGGACAGACATGAAGCTGAGGCATGGGGCGGGCCCCTGGGGGTGGGGGCGGCGGAACCCCCACACTCCTTTCTCTCTCTGATGCTGTTTCCATAGTTGCCAGGCTGAGAAGCCCTCTCAGCGGATGGGGCTGGGAGGAGGGTCAGGGCCTCAGTTGGCCCCCCAGCTGTAGCTGTTGTAGGCAGACTTGTTGGTCTGGGGCTTCTGCGGGATGGAGCTGGTCTGGCTACGTTGCCCGCTGCCCGTCTGCAGGGGAATGGGAGGATGATGGAGAGGAAAAAGGTGTCTAGTTAGTGGGACAAATTTGTGACAGGTTCAGGCAGAGACTTTGAAATCGTCTTGCCCTCCCATTCCCCGTGCTTAGAAACTACTCTGAAGCTCACTTCTCGCCCACAGAAAATTTGGTTTACACAGCTGCTAGGGCCCCTCTGACGAAAGAGCACCTCCAACTCTTAAACGGGGGAAAGACGGAAAGAGCAAGACGCCTGGAGAGACGAGCGCGAAGCAGTTCTGCTCCTTCGCAAGGCCCCTGCCCGCGAGGGAAGGCTCCTCTCCAGAACTCTGGCCTCTTGGGGACGAGTGACCACAGGCGATTTCACTCTCACCGACCCCCAGGCCTCAGCAAAGAAGCCCTGACCCCAGCTCCCGGCCACCTGTGGCGGAGGAGAGGTCACCTGCGCCACCCCGTGGCCCCCGGCCCTAGCACAGATGCCTCTGTGAGCCCACCTCAGGCGAGGCGGGAGCCCCAAGCTCCGGATGCTGCCCTGAGAACCCTTTCCATCCCGTAACCAAGTGCTTCCAGGGTCGGGGGAGGGGAGAGAGAGAAAGAGGGCGTTGAGGAGGGGAGGACCAGAGAGGGACGGGAGGCCAGAGAGCTCAGCGAGGTGTCTGTGTGTGTGTATCCCGATCGTGACCGTGCAGTCTCTCTCTTCAAGTTCCCTGCGGCTGTGAGGTGAAATGGGGGCTGGAAAGGAGTGGGTTCAAGCACATCACCATTCAGTTTCATTACCTGCTCCTCCTGCTGGCGCTGGCAACAGAGAATCATCTGCAAATATGGTAGCTGAGGCAGAACCAGGATATATGGAAAATAAAGGGACAAACTTTGACAATAGAACTCCACCATTAGAAGGGAAAGCTACAATGTGAGGGAAGGGGGAGGGCTGGGAGAGGTAAGAGGGGAGGTGTGACCCAGGCCTGACGGGACGAGGACAACTGCACTACGGGCGGAGGTGGAGGAGAAAGGCACCAAAGGAACTGGGCAGAAAAGGTTTGTTCGGTCTGGCCCCTTCTCTGACATCTCCTTTGCCGGCCACTCGTGTTATGTGCGCTTGTGTCTGTGTGTGCTGTGTGCCCATGGCTGGCGCTGGGGAGGATCGGGTGGAGGTCGCGGTGAGGAAGGGAAGAAGAGGAAAGGGAAGGCAGTTTTAAGGGACAGGAAGGAAGAGGAAGGGAGAGGAGAGAGGGCGGGCTGTTACCTGGCCATCCTGCTGTAGGTGATGGTGCAGGATCTGGGAGTGCGGCTGCTGGTGGGGGGTCAGGATGTGCATGAAGGGGGCGGGCGGGTAGGCAGCAGCTGTGGCCGGATTGATGGGCCCCCCACTTCCCAGGGCTGAAGGCAAGTTGAAGGAGGCGGCAGGAGTACCGGAATGGAAACCTTGTTTCTCAAAGGACTGCTGTCCGCGAGGGCGGGAGGAGGAGGAGAGAGAGAAGGGATCAGCGAACGAAGCCTCAGGACTGCTGAGCCCAAGCTCTCCCACCCTCGGAAGGCAGCGTGCTGTCCCAGAAAGGACGCTGCGCCTGGAGGACACTCAGGCCTCAGCCTGAGCTCTGCCCTTTAACGGCTGTGTGATCCTGAGAAAATGACTCCGTCTCTCAGCCTGTTTTCTCAGACATGAAACGGGGAATGCTCCCGACCTCTCGGCGTAAGGACCGAATGAGGGGATGGGTGTGGAAACACCATAAAACCCGTCGCATCCGAACACGGAGCGATCTGCTGACTCTCAGCACCCCACCCCTGGAGCTGGGGAAGGATGCGAACTCCATGGAGGCACCTTGAGCACTGGGCCAAAAAAAGAAAAAGGAAAAAAGCTCCGCCGGACACGCTACAGCAAACTCAAATACTCGTGGAGGGGAGAGAACTGAGCGACCCGATACAAGTTTGTGGGTAATGAGAATGCCTCACTTTCATTATGGGGGTGTCCCCTTTCCCACTCTGTTATAAACTCGCTCCCCTTCATGCCACACCCGTTGTCTTGGAAAGCTACGGAAAGGCTGGGAGGGGGCCAGCAGAGGGGGCCGGGACAGCTGCGCAGGAAATCACACGCCACCTCACCCCGTCACATTTCTCTCGTCTTCTCCCCACAGGGCTAAAGGTGAACTTCCTGGAGAACCTTAAGCCCAGCGCCCACTCACTTCCTGACACCTCAGGGCTGTGCGGGTTTTCCCTGGACTTCCTACCACTGCGACTCCACCTCCTGTGTCTGTCTCTCTCGACTTCCGGCCAGAGCCAGGCACCTACCTGGGTTTTGGAGTACACAGAACCCGAGATATCTGGCACGCCCGTGTTACTGGAGGTGACTGACACACCTGAGGGGAAGGAAACAGACAGGATTAGCTCGGCCCGGCTGCCTGACCCCTCTCCCTGGGAGGAGGAGACATGTGCACTCTTTCTGGCTACAGTCCTGCAAGGGAATTCTGGTCTGTTCTTCCAGCCTCAAGTCAGTCCTGAGGGATAAAAGCTCACGACACAAAGGCTCGCTAAGGGTTCCCTTGCCCTTTCCAGGTGTGTACTGAGTACATGGGAGTGAGGTGAGTTGTTTTCTGAAGGTACAAGGAGGCAGAGCAAACCTCACTAGCAAAGTTTTCAGAACACCACTGTGGCAAAGCCCAACGGGAATGTATTAAACTTTTACGTCCACGTCAAATCAATCTACCCCATCGCCACTCAGTCTTGCTCTGGAAGACAAGTAGTCTGGCTCTCAGAGATGCTGCCGGGCTTAGAATCCATGCCTCCACGGCACAGGTTCAGTACCAGAGGACCAGTCCAATTCACGCCTCATTCTCAGAGCTTCAGCTCACTCAGTCCAGCTTCTCCAGTCTTGGCGCTTCTAGGCTATGTCCTTATGACTTAAAGAGCCGCCACAAACGTGAATGTCCATTTACACATGTGAAGCGTGGAGAGTAAGGAAGGTAGACAGACGAGTGGACCATCTCCTACAGCCTAGGTGGAACACAACATCCGAATGCTATTCTGGTCCACAGCTTGAGCGTCTCCAGGAGATGAAGGCTCTGATCCACACTCCAGCAGCTTGCACGCGTCCGGCTGAAAACCTCCCTGCCACCACTGCAACCTTAAGGAACCCGGAGTGGTAGGATTCTTCATTCTAATTCGTACTCAGACTGAAATACACACACTACCTCCTGCGAAGGGGGCATCAAGGAGACACGAGAAAGCCATCGGGTAAAGTAACCCAGTGTCTTACTGGAGAAATTTTATGCAAAGATCTGAGGTAAAGTAACTCAAACTTAACTAGGAATTTAAAGCACGTTTTTAAAAGACATATTCGTTCTCATGAAATGAGATAAAATGAATCTTCAGAAAATCTTTTCATTTCAGTGTGTGCCCTTGGATCCTTGCTAGGAGCACTTTGACGGAAGAGTTTTCTAGAAGCACTGTACTAAAGTGACCAAATCCCAAACGAGGAATCCTCCGTTCACCCACAATTCAATAGCAATCCCCCTTCCAACTCCAGAACCCAAATCCTCCCAATGCCTAGGACAAAGGCAGCGTCAAAAGTTAAGCTCACCTTAAGTACACAGTTTAGAACCTTCGCAACAGAAGTGGCATCTTAACCTGGAAACCCCTCCCGCGTCACGAGTCCAGAGAGCTCCCGGGAGCAGCGAACACCAAGTAGGAAAAAGAAAAGAGCTCCGGGAAGCGAAGCAGGAGCAGACGCGCCCCCATCCCCAAAGCGCCAGCCCTACACTTTCAAGGCACTGAAGAGAAAAAGCAGGACGATGCAGCAGCTGATGAGTATGTTTTTTTTTTTGCCCTTTCCCTTTTCAAACCCCAGGTGCCCGTCTGGCAAATCACTGGCGACAGGCTAAAGTTTAAAAACAGGCGCTCAATTATGGAGAAGGCTAAGCTGATGAGGTGTGTGTGGAAGGGTTGAGAGATGGAATACACAGGATATATACAGAACATTTTAGAGAGAAAGAAAAAGGGATGCTTGACCTTTACTGCAAAGGCTCAGACGGCTTGCCAACGCCCTCGGCCATCTCACACAGCGGGGAGAAAGGACCAACTGGCCTCCCAGCTGGGTGAAGGGAGGAATTTAGTTCCACTGTGCCCCTCCCTACCTGACCTCATTCTTTCCAGAGTCCAGAGGCCGTAACTTGGACATTGGTTGAAGGAACTGGAAATGCAGGAGAAAGGGGACTTCTCTTGGTAGGAGCCGTGTGACCTCGGTGTAAGGATCAGACACTGGAGAAGAGTGCTGTTGGTCCCCTGCCCACGCGCCACCAGTTACGAGAAAGCTCCTCAGACTGGAGTTCGCCCGCTTTCCCGCCAACAGTCAAAGCCCCCTGGACCCCCAATCCAAACAGCGATGACCACGACGAACACCGTGGGAGAAGCGAGAACCAACCTCTCCCAGCATGGCGGCCCCTAGGGAAGTTGGGACAAAATCACTCGCGGCTGGGAACGAATACACGGAAGTGTGACAGCGGGGTTCCCGGCTGACACGGGGCGGCGGGGGGGACATTCTCACTGCCCGGGTGAACTCCGCGCATGAAGAGCCGGTGGAGTGCCAGCTGGGCCGAGTGGGGACAAGACTTCCCGAGTCAAGACGTCTAACCAGACCTCTCCAGCAAGTACAATACGACGAATACTCCACCATCCCTGAAAAGCCACCGAGGGACTAAGCACACCGTTCCAGGCTAGCACAGTTTCCGCGGCCCGAGTCATCGACTACCTGGTCACTCGAGGCTAGGAGAGCTCAGTCAGCCACTCGGCCCCGCGGAACCAGATGTGGGAATTACGCCTTGGAAGCTAGCTCCCGACAACAGCTCTGAACACCACCTCTGCTGCCTTTCACCACGACACGCCGCTCCACACCTGTCCGTCCTCCCCCCTCCGCTCACGTCAGAGGTGAGTGGAAGACTAAATGGGAGTGACAGCTACACCCAGCACGGAGAGTGGGGGTTTCCACCCAGCCCGCTACCAACCAAGCGACAGGTTGGGAAGAGACTTTCCCCTCCCCCACTTGCGTAAAGCCATACTGAGACGTCACCAGTTCTCTGACTGTGCGGGGGTCCGACTGAAAAGGCCACCCTCCACCCTTCATCCACAGCACAACACTGGATCCTAGTGTCCAGAGAGACATGCACGGAAAGAACGCCAGAGTTAGCTAAAGAAACACCACAGTTTATTGAAGACTACAAAGGTTTTTGTTACAAGTTGCAACCACATGCCTTCCAGAAATTAAAAGCAACAGCGGGTGTGTGTGCATCGATGCTTCGGAGGTGCTGCACCGCTCGGACTCGAAATGGGTAAGACAGGGTCAGACACATGGAGGAGGGGAAGCGGGGGACGGGCAAGTTCAAGAGCCCAGAAGGCATCCACCAACTCATTTCCCCAAGCCACGCAGGCCGTGGCCACAGCTCGGCAGGCTCTCCTCAGTGCTCTGGTTTCTGAAACAAGACTTCAGTGCAAACATACACACACACAAAACACAGCCCCCAGCCTTGGGCCAAATTAGCTCTCTGCCGTCCAGAAATGCTTGTAAGGGGGTGGATATTTTCTTCCTAAAAGGAATCAAATACATAAAAATAAATGAATTGAGAGATTGATGAAGAATGAGATGACAAGAACCCTCTGTGGGGTCATGAACTGGGGGGGGGGTCATTAACTGGGGGGGGGGGGTCTCAAAAGGGCTGTTACAGAACATTTTCAAAACTCTAAGGGAGGTAAGCAGCCAGGATTTCCAGAACCAGGTACGCCATTCTCTCAGATTACCAGTCACCTACCTCTTAAAATTCCTGAACTTGGTCCAGCTAAGATTTAAATCTAAGATTCCTGGAATGGGGCCCCTCTCATCAAAAGGCTGATAACCCTTCCCACGGAGTAGGGTGGGCCTTGCTCAGGGAGAGGGGTAGCCACACACAGACTCGGTATGAAATTTCAATGGGTGTCTCACCATTTCTTTAGTTGAAATCTTGACCTAAGTCATACAACACAGTACAAAGTTCCACTTGTTAGTTCCCAGACCTACTGCCCTCTGCTCAGCTCAGTTTCCTAGTCGAAAACTTTGAGCAATTTACCCACCTGGAGCCCACTTAAGGGTGATGAACACAGATGCAGCTCCAGCCAAATCACCATGAAATCATAGCTGAGCCAAGAATTTTGAAGGACATCCCTCAACTCCCACCCCAACCCCCAGTAACTGAACACCCTCCTTCCCATCCACATTCCTCTACAAGTCACTGCAAAGAGTAGACGGAATTTTTAAATTCAGACTCCTCCTTACTCCGTGTACTCCAAAGTGGAGAGCACATGTCAGGTATGGGAACGAGGGACGGGCTATGAATCTAGGTCAAGATCCCTCCATCTCCCTCTCTGCCGTGAGATGTGCAGACAGGGTCTGCGGAGCCCATCCAGACACAGGAAGGAACTGAAAGGCCGGCTCTCCGCTGCGGAACGCGGGAACGCAGGTGCAGCCCACTTCTGAGCGCCTCACGGGCATTGTGGCTTTTAGAAGGTGAAGGCGGACCCTCCGCCAGCAACGACCACTTTACTGCGGTGGTCCGGAAGTGCCCCACACTTCCTCTTGGTGTGACATACTCGTGCCCTGACAATCTACACACCATAGGCCTCCCAGCTAGGGAACAAGAAGGGGCTGCATGAGAAAAGCAGCACCACAAAGGGACTTCAGCCAGACGATCGCCGCACACAGGCCAGAAGCCCGCTCACCCTCAGTCAGTAAGCACACCCCCTTCTATGCTGTCAGCACCCTACAAATTGACACTCACCTCAGTAAAACCTTGGGGCCCCCTGCCCTGCTCCCCACAGACGAGGCCAGCGGCACAGCTAATAGCTAACGCCTGCCTCAGGGCAGTCCTGTTGTGGGCAGTGGACACAGGCTCTAGGGTCAGGCCCCTCTGCCGCTGCTGGGAGAACCCCCACGCAGCTGGACACGAACAGCTTGGGTGGATGGCAGTGCGCCCTCGCCAAGCGCCGACTTGCTCCCTGCAGCGTACTTAGTGACACCCCACGGACACCGAGAGCGGGGCAAGGCTTACCAGTGTTGTATCCGTGAGACCCGTACCCGCTTGGCTGCTGGAAGGGGGTGGCCGATGCATTCACGCTGACGTTCACGCCATGCTGCTTAGAAGAGGTAGGAGCCACCTGGGGAGCAGAGGGCAGAGCCACAGTGAGATGGTGGCAGGGGCCACCCACCCTGCTGTCTTCCTCCAGGAACTGGGCAATTGATGCCACCTGCCTGGGCGCAGGCCCGCTGCGGTGCGCTTGCTGAAATGGGGTCTCCTACTGAGCTTCCTCAAATCAGCCAGTGAGGTCAAGAAATGGTTCTATGGACGGGGGAGGGGACAGTGGTAGCGGGGATGACCAGCAGCCTGACGAAGCAGAGTTGGATGCTGCTGTGTTCCCTCGGGCTCATTCTGACACCGGAGAACCCCTCTCCTCCCTGTACCCCCAAACCTGGGCGCACACCCTCCCAGACTGGAAACAGGCCAGAGGCAGAAAGTGCTCCTCCTCACACACTGAAATCTTTGAAAGCAGCTGGGAGAGTGCCCGGGGTGGGATGCTTTCCCACGAGGGAAGGCCTAGCCCAGGTACTCACAGGGAACACGGCAGGCCCGTACTGGAAGGTGCTGGGGAGCCCCGGCACCCCTGTGTAGTACGGCAGGCTGGTGTAGCTGTAGCCGGGAGGCAGCGCCGGGTTCAGGAACGTCTGCTGTGTGGTGTGGTGTGTCTGCGTCTGGTTCTGCTGGGGCTGGGCCAAGGTTGTGGCCGGGGCCGGGGAGGAGGCATCCCCGCGGCCGAACTTTGTGAGGTCACCTGTGTCGGGACAAGCCAAAGGTAGCTGCCTCTTCCACCCCAAGCCCCGCCGACAACAGTGCAGGACTACTGCTGGTTTCACACGAGTCCAGAAAGTCCTGTCAGAAAACTGTTGAAGGTCAAGTCCCTGAACAACGCCCCTCTGAGGCGACATCCGGCATCACTCAGCGCACAAAACAGTGCTGGCCAGGGCCCCGTCGTGCTGTGGCGGGCCAGCCTCCCAGAATAAAGCTCCTGCGTGCCCTCCCCACCTGACTCATCTTTCATTCCCGCCTCCCCTCCCCTCCCCGTCCATGGGGGATACTCGTGCTGGATTAGAAGAACAAGGACAGGTCAATGAGAATGACAATTCAGGCAAAAAAAGAAGGCCCACGGCCTAGCAAGGCCACAAGACTGCCACTGAGTGGGGCAGAGGAGCAGGGACGAGCAGAGGAAAGCCAGTTCGGCCATGCCCTTCCTGGAAAATGCTGGAATATGGCTGAGAAAACCCGCCTCTGGAATCACGGAGAGGACGGAGGGAGAGATGAGAAGGACAAGCTGCCACGTGCCCATCTGCAGCGGGATTCAAACTGACGCATCCTGGCCCTCCACACCCATTCCACACTGCTGCCGAAGAAGACCCTCACTGAACTGGGTCCCTTGCTGCCACTAACCAGGTCCCTGCCACCAATCTCAACACAATCTTCCTTTACTCAGCCCTTCCCCAGTCCTACCGGAATAAGGGTTGCTGGCCAGGCTACCGTCCCTCCCAGTCAGCGGCGTGGTGGGCGTGGGAAACGGGATGCTGTAGTAATCCTAAGGGAGCGAGACAGAAGGGCAGACTCAGTGCCAATGGGGCCCCAGCAGGTAACTCCACAGGCCGAGGAGCAGCTGTGGGAGCAACGCTACTTGTCCAGCCACCCAGTTAGTTGGCAGGAGCTGGCGCGGGCTCCGAGTATTCTTGCATGCACTGTCCCCCCTGCCTGGCCACGAACGCCGTCAGGCAAGGTCTACGGGCATGCGTGCCAGAGAGCACGCCAAGCACACCAGGACCAGAGGTGCTCTCGAAGCTCCAGATCTCACCCAAGTGGTCTACGGTGGCTCAGAAAATAGATCTTTCTGGAATCTGAAGTGTTTGAGAAACATACAGAAAGCATCCTGAGAGCTCTGGAGTCCTGGTACAGATTATGTTAAAACCTGTTTACGTCAAAGGTGCCACAACTCTGATTTAAAAAAAAAAAAATTACCTTCTGTTAGAACTAGTCCCCCAACCCCTACGTTCTGATGTACCTTAAGTCACATTGTGTGCACGGGGGTATGGTTTGGGACAGAGGCATCTGTGACTTATCAACTGAATGTTTAAAAGAATCCCCCCAACACTAATTTTAAGATTGCTCTTTTCCTAAGCTCTACTGTACATACTCACCAACGGAAATCTCGTCTGAAGCATCTGCAAGTCGTCATAACCATACACTTGGGGCTGAAAGACACAAGCGTTAACAATATGACGTAGACCAATCATGATGGCAGCAACGAAGCAGCTAAGAGACAAGGTGAATCAACAAAATTCACCCTCATTTTGAGGAAAAACAAGAGACAGAATACTGCCTTCAGTTCTTTACGAGGAAAAAAGTGCACTACAGAGCTTAAGTGGCTCATGGATGGCCTGCAAGATTCCCCTGAGCTGCTGCGGACCCAGCCTGCCTGACCTCAGGGCAGCAGGGCGCAAATGTGGGCTACGCACCAACGACCTGCTCTACCTCCTCGTCCACCCCCGTCTGTCTCCTACAGCCTTCAAATCACAGCTTAAAATGTATCTTCCTCAGAAAGAGTTCACATTTTACTCCTGTTTTCCCTAACGTCTGAGTACTAAGGTAGCATGTGATTACTAAAAAACATACCGAGTGCTATCAAATGTGCTGTCTATATAATGTTCATCTAGACCCTCTCTCTGAGAACAAAAATTTTTAATAAATACCTTCATCTTGATAAGCACTGAATAGCTGAATCTGACAGAAAAAGCTGACAGAACAGGGCAAAACATTGTTCCTGTCAGCCACCCACTCACAGACAGTCTCAGACTGAGTGGGGACTGCTCTGCCCAGGCCAGAGCCAGCAAAGACCCCAGAGACAAGGAATCGATTCGACTGGAAACAACACAGTTCTCTAAGAAACTGAACGGCACTTGGGCCTCTGGCTTCTGAGGCCCAGACTATGTGTCTCACACAGACATAATAGGAAACAGAGGGCCTGGCCTCGGTTTAGGCCTTCCTCTCTGAACACTGGGATTTCCCTCCAAATCTACGAAGATTAGAAACTTGTTTGCTCTCACATAATATCCACTCGTTCATCCTGTATTTTAATTTTGGTCTCCCTCCTGAAGCCAGAGCCGTGAAGAGCAGCCACCCCACCAGGACCCCTCCTCTGGAGAAGGCCCTTCCGCTCACTTACCGGGTAGGCATGTAACAGCCCCGGAGCCATGATGTACGGATTAGGCAACAACGGCGGGACCCCAGGCGGGAGGTTAGGAGGAGCTTTTCCTAAAAGAGAAACCGCATCTTCACCCTGTCAGTTATCCCTCTCCTTGATCCCAAGGGAATGCCATCCGCCCTCGACGCATGGCTACCTGAAGTCGTGGCAACTGAGCTTCGTGTCGAGGCCGTGACGGTGGAGCTGCTGCCGAGGCTGAGGCCCAGGCTACTGCCACTACTGAGACCGGAGGAGACGCTGACCGCTGCGGGGGGTGCAGAGACCGTGCTGGACGTGGTGGAGAAAGTGCTGGAGGAAGAATGGAGATTCGCCTCACTCTCCACGCTCGTGTGCTTCAGAGGGGGGCGGGGCATGGAAGAGAGAAGGAGGGAAACGGTGGTTAGCCTAGTGGGCCAGGAGAAACCTCGTCTACCAATTATGTCACCATGGCAACTGCCCAACTAAAAAGGCCGAAGCAGGGGACTGGGTGCTCCTCTGGCAAAGCAGTGACAAGAATTGCTAGCTCTTCTCCAGGTACACGTTACCCCAAGATTCCTCTGGGAGGGATGGTGACAGAGACCCACTGCACATCATCGTCACTGTTCAGAAAGGCAGTGGAGAGACTGGGGACAAACCCCCCAGAAACCAACGCCATCGACCAGTGAGCAGACAGTTTAAACATGAAAAACGTATCAGAGCTTTCTCTCCCACACTCTCCTTCACTAGTTTACGAGAGGCCAGTTTGTGGCCGAGAAAACAGTGCAAGTTCTAGTGCATATCCCAGAGCCAAGAATGAGAACGGCCATACCAGTCAGAAAGGGACGTGCTTACAGAATTTGTCGGAGCATACAAAGCCCCATCAGCTTTGGAGTTCAAAAAAAGTTACATAAATTTTCAGAAAAATCACTTCCAGGGCTTTGAAAATTGGCCCACGGCTCTGCAACATTTCTGGATTTTTCTGCCTCTCTTTAAACATCCTTTTTACTCCTTTCCTGCAGCCTCAGATCGATTATCATTTTGCCACCGCATGAAGAAATTTTTAAGAATCCCTTCGGGGGAGAACCTTATGGTTGGCTAGCAGTCGACGTAAAAAAAAACCGCATTTCCCCGTCACAGCCCCACGCTTACCAGAAGAGTGGACGTCGAAGTGCGCCCGGAAGATGCTGATGTGGACAGGGAGTTCTGCTGCGTGGACAACGTGCTGTAAGAAAAAAAAAAGGGCAAAGAGGTTCCCATCAGCCGCGGTGTCATGGTTGCCTGAAGCTTCAGACGAGCACGCAGGCAAGGAAAGGGCAGAACGAGGGCGGCAGAGAGCTGAGACCGTACGTAAGTACAACCATGCGGTCAGCCGGGGTCGTGAGCCATTACGGCAAGAATGGATGTCGAAAAGGAAAACAGCCTCCTGTCTTTACTTCCTGCAGCTAGGTCACCTATCCGCTAAGCTAAGGTGGTCTCTGCCAGGTAAAGGGGATGAGGTAGAACCAGAGCACTTACACCAGCTGCCACCCGCCAACCCCACCCTGTGACCGTCGCCCCAATCACCTGCTGTGTTGTGTGGTGGCAGTATTTGGAATCTCCTCACTGTGGCTCAAGCCACCCAGGGAGGACGAGTGCTGATTGGTCGTCGTCAGTAAGGAGGCTGCAGAGACCGTTTCGCTGAGTGGGGGGATGCTAGAAGTGGAAGGTGAGTCAGATTTCACGGCAGAGCCTGTAGCACCTGGAAAGAAAGGAGTACGCGTCAACAGAGGAAGGGGAGTGTCTATAAGAAACAAAGAGGTGACCACAGCCCCAGCCCGCCCCAAAGACAAGAGTGCGAGTTATTTAATAATGGGTCGTTTGTGTTTAGGTAGAAGCTTTTTTTTTCAAATTCCAGGCATTTCACAGCGCTGACTGCATCCATCCAGTGAAGAGCGCCAGCGGGACGATCGCCATTTTAGGATAGAGAACGTGAAACTTCAGATGGGCTGAGAGTGAAAGAGCCAGGCAGCCCCGAGCTAAGACAACCAGACGTTGCGATCGCCGACCCAGAGCCCTTCCCACTACGACCCAAGAAATGCAAAATTCTTGAGAGAGGAGGAAAAACACTACAACTGAGAGGGCAAGGCCTGGTGCACACTCACCTTCGACAGATTGCGTGGTCTGTAACTGCGTGGCCTGCACAGAACTGAAGCCATTCTGGGACAAAAAACAGGAATAAAAGACAGACAAAATCAAGTGAATAGATCAAGCTGGCTTAACTTCCAGCAACAAAACTTTCGGAGAAATTCCGCAAGCTAACCGAAGAATTAACACAATGCAAACTACCCAAAAATAAAAATGAAAACAAGATATACCAACTCTGCATGACCCAAGGTAACAGAACGCAACCCCCAAACTGCTGAAGAGACCCCCAAACCCAAGCCAGATGCAGGAAAAGGACCAGATCCAGAGATCCCTGGGGGAGGATGTGGGAGTGAGACAGTTCAGCCAAGCCACCTATCCCGCTGGCTGCATCTGAGTCACTCCGCATCACCTCCAGCACATGCTGCCCCCTCACCAAGCCCAGACCCAGCCAGCTGAGGTCTACTGATATGCACCCAGAACTCTAGCGATCACCTTCCGAGAAGAGAAAAAGGCACTTGACACCGATTCTACTACCAAAACCGAATATTTAGTGCAATGAATCTTTAGAACCGTTTTCTGGCTCCGAGTCTCCAACTTTGCTGAAAATAACTTTTTAAAAATTTCACCAACCACAGAAATACACTTCGCTCAGCTTCCCACCCAGCACTTCGGAGGTATCTGACCACCATTTGTCCAGAAGTAAAACGCTACTATTAAAGGGACTTTGCCCACAGTTCTAACCAATGCCCAGGGGCTTATAAAGCCATTACCTTTGCCTGAGTCAGGTCCTTTTGGGGTGATGAAGAGATGGAGCTGGGGTACCGCCGAGTCTGTGTGGATCTCTGTTCATACAGAGGGCCCTGAGCACTGTTTTGGGAGGTATAGGTTGTTGACTGAATTGGGCCACTCTGATACCCGGACTCCTGGCTCTGGTTGGATGACGTTGTGGACGAAGACTCGCTGTGGGGGATGGAAAAGGACAATCTCAGAGAAAATGAGATGAAACAGATGCCTGTAACTAAAAAACTGGTGGAGACCCATGACTAAAGTAAGTTGATTATGAACAGAAAGAAAGTTCCAGCAACAAGTCAAAGCTGCCGTCCCAACTTTCTCTTGACCACAGGAGGCAGCTCCAGACTACAGAGCCAGGATCTGAAGGAAGAACCAAGTTTTAAAAGTTTCAACTCTTAAAAGAAGGGAACGTTTCCTTATTCCCCTCCATTCTGCTATAAGAAAAAGAGGCTAAAAGTAAATAGAAAGGACACAGTGTTCTTGGTCCCTTTGTCATGGCATGAGCCTGAGTACAGGAAAGTCATCTTTCGCTTATGTCTTTATCGTAAGAATTCTGAGCTCCTGGCTCTCTAAACCCCACTGGATGTAAGGTGGCTGGCAGCACTCTCCTGAGAGGAACTCAAAATACTCACGTGCATGAATGACAGTCATGATTCGAGAGATCTGGGCGAGGGCCAGACGTTTATATTTTTAAATTCTAAGGCTTGAGAAAAACAGCCCAGGCCCCTGAAACACCCCCAAGATTTTCTATTGCTTAAGATGGCCCTCCCCAACAGATCAGAGGTGGCAGGAAGGGCTCCACTGGACGGGTTCCTTGTAAGCGGCATAACAGATCAGTGCTACCTCCTTCCCCGGACTTCAGTTATCCCCTTCATAGGCCTACGTTCCCCACCAAAGGGCTCAAAGTGTCAAAAGTAGTTTTAGCTGATGCAGATGCCGAGGCGCTTTCCATCAGAGGTGCCGTATACATCTAAGAACTATGCCTGGCCGTTCTGCAAGTACCGAAGGGGTACATTTCTGTTTAGAGCTACAGATAATCCTAGCAAAATATTTGTTTTCCCTCTTTAATCCGCCCCCATTTCACCTCTGACCTACGGATGTTGCCGTTTCCCCTCAAGAACTGGATCTCTGAAGGTGGGGTGTCTCCTCCCACACGCTCGTGATGTGCACCCGGGGTATGGTCCGTGGCTCTACCTGGGGTGTGAAGCCAGGACCTTCTGCGTGTAAAGCAGACGTGCTGACCGCTACACTATGGAGCCATGCCCCGAGCAAAATATTTTTAAGTGCTCAGTGAAATGCTACAACTGGCTGCTTTTCCCTCGGAGACCTGGCCTCCCCACAGGACTAGGAATCATCAAGAGACTCAGAGGAAGTGGTAAAAGCCTACTAAGAGAAGGTGCAATCACAGCTGATGTGTCTCCTACCTGGCCGTGCTGGTATAGAGGCTACTCGGAGCCTGGCTTGAAGAGGCGCTCGTGGTGGGGGTGGACTCGTAATCAGAAAGGACAGGCTCCGACCCAAACTGCAAGGCCCCGAACTGCAGGTTTAGCCCTGAGATATCTGCCGAGCCAGGCATCTCCACAGCCAGAGCAGGAATCTGGAGAAAACAGAAAGTAATGGTTTACTGCAACCTCACTGTAAGACCAATGAAAAGACGTTTGCTTCAAATTTCTATACTATACTTTTACATTCTCGATTCCCAAACCCTATAGCCCCTTGCCCCAAGAGAGCACCTATTTAAAAGTTAAAGTACCTTAGAAGTCAAGGAGGCTTTTTTCTTCTGCTGCTTCAGTTTTTGCTGAGCCGGCTGAGGGCTGGAGGACTGGTTGTCTGAAGACCCAGGGGACATTTGTGGCGCCGAGGCAGGTTTGCTTGGCAGCGGAGAAGAGGGGGGTGCAGGTGCAGCTGTGGAGGTAGCTGCTGCAGGTGGCTTCTCCTGAAGGAACACCTCCATCATGGTTGAAGATGGGGTGAAAGCCTGGCGCTTTGTGAAGGGGCTGTGCACTGTTGAATCATTTGGGTTCTTTAAATCTGCACAAAGAAACCCAGTATATTTGAGGTCAGAGGTGCTGGTGAACCTCAGAAAATGCTGTGACTCTGCACTAGAGCCATGAACTAAACCCCCAAGAGTCAAGACCTCATATAAACAGGTCCTGTCTTAAGACTTGTCTCATTCCTAGAGGCACCGATTATTTGATCGTATTTGTTCTTAAGTAGGGCCTAATTGAACTGATGCTATCACTCGCCTGTGTAAGACAGGGATCTAGGAACTACCCATGTTTAAAGTCCTAAAACAGACAAATCTATGAATGTTTCCAAAGGCAATACGCTGTTTTTAAACACTAAAGATAAATCTAGAAGATCTCTAAAACCCCCAGGTCAACAGAAAACTGCAGCTACATATAGAACTAAATTTGATAGAGAAGCTTTACAACCTCAACTTCTTACGACCCCCGGCATTGACTGGGGAGCTCAGGGTGGAGAACGAGCCAACTGGCTGCCCTTCTCCTCCCTTCGCCCCCTACTCCTGCCTCTTGACAGGTATGCTGCAACGCTTAAAAAGCTCAGTTCGCTGTCCGTCTTTCTCACCGTACTGCACCAGCGAAGGGGACTGCGTGGTGGAGCCCAGGTCCCAAGAGGAGGTGGTGGCGGTTCCGGACTGGGAATGCTGGGCGGCCAGCTGAGCCAGGGCCTGCGCAGTCTTGAACTGCTCCAAGAACTGGGAGCCCGTGGTGCTGCCGCCTTTAGCTTCGCCGACATCACCAAATCCTTTCCCTAACATGCTCACCTGTAGATCGACACAGAAATTAGAGAAATCTGCAGCCAGCAACCTTGTTTAGCTACTCAAAGACGCACTTATCCAGGATGAGCGCGGTATAAATGAGGCCAGTAAAGACTGCCACCAGACTGAGTACAAAGCGTGGTCCACTTAGAGCACAAGTTCTGGACTCAGAGTGTCTGGCTATGTAATTGTAGAAAAGTAAATTTTCTGTACCTCACTTGAACATAGAAATAAAAGCAGTACCTCATTAAACTGTGGAAGGATTAAACAAATTATGTATGTAGAGCATTTAACATGTACAGGGTATACAGAGTAAGTACTCAAAGAAGTGAGAGCGATTAAAACGTCTGCCTTCGTCATCACTTCCTCCTTCCTCTGCCTCGGGGATAAAGCTCCAATGACTAGAGAGATTTTTTTTTCTCCTTTTAAAGTTTTAAATCAACCAATACTTGATTATTTAAGTTAATATAAGGGTAATATAAAATTTCACTTTCGCCGTTAAGGTCCTTGTCTTTTCCAGGAAACAGCTTGAAAGAAACAAAACCAACGGCGCCTCATCTCAATGTTGTTAATAATCAGCACCGCTGCCAAGGCGGCTCACTAAACTAGCCAAAAATGAGTCCAGATGATCTGGATGTTTTCTTCTGTGTGCATCCAAGTTCTACAGGGCGATCATGACAACAAAGCAAAATTTACTCTTAATGCTTTCGGGGGATTCTCCCCATTCCCTACTACCAAGTAAAACTACCAGCCTCATCGAGAAGAACCATGTGGCCTTGACTATTTTAAGAAACCCCCAAGGAAATTTAACTTCATCTTCCTTAAGTTCTCATTTAACTGTATCGCCATCACGACTGGGCAGCGCTTTCCTATAAAAAACCCGTCTGTTCAACCCAAGGTAAGGTGTTCTTTCCCATTTCCATCTATACCCCAAGATTATACACACAAATGCAAAAATGTCAGAAGTCCAGCTGAAAATATGGGATTGTGGCTGAGAGATGATCTCACACAGCAATGATTACCAAATATCCTATAAATGCAAAGCATTAAAAGAATAAAAAGTTATCTAATGTTCACATATTGTACACAATAATAAGGGGCTCCTGTATTATTTATAGCTGTTAAATTTCAAGGGCAAATAATCCTGTTAACATTTACTCTCCATAGAAAAGAAACGCTAAATAGCACAGTGATTAATGCAAGTAATGAGAAAGAACCGAATGACGTTAAGTTCAGTTTAACACATCAAGTGACTGACACACGTTAAATAGAATGTTGGGGTAAGTGAAAGTATGCCGAAAACTTTACGAAGGCAATTAAGAGAAACATGGAGCACTTAACCACATCTCCCAGCCACATACATCTCTTAGGGGCTGGGAGTCATTGCCTGATCTGTTTCACCTTGTGACCTTTGTCCCATTGTTTCTCTCTTCTTTCTCTTTTTAATCCCAACTCTCCTCTTTCTTCTCTTGCCCACTTTTTCTCACCTGTCACCTTTCAAATATAGAACATCAACCACCAAATTATTAACACAAAAAACCACTAAGACAACAGGTAAAAAATGAACAGAATTCTCAATTAGAGGCTAGCTCAGCAGTTTCCTAATTAAAATTACTACTATAACCCTACTACTGGAAAAATAAAACTACATGCACACACACGATCTCTTACCTCTTACAACTATAGTATCCCTCCACAAAAACAGGGATGGAAGGAAAAGCGAAGAGGAAAAAACAAAAGGCAGTACTTCTTAAATTTATTGACTGTAAGAAAATTGGTCCTTGTTTAGCTTAAATGATTCCTTTGCCATAGTTAATGACCTTGGTTTTCAAAAATGTTCTGAATCAACAAGTCACATGACAGAACTGTCGTAGGTTACTAATAAACAATATCACTATTGCCACCACATTTGTATAGCCCCTGTCCATTACCGTATCTTCCTAAGATAGGCAGAACAAGCACTCAACCCACCCCTGCAGAGAAAGGGAGAAACAGCTTAGCAAGTGGGCAGATTCTGGAAGACCAGAAGTTTTGGGCAGTCTAGTCCCAAAATGCCTGGTTTAAATACATATGGCAATTCTGCTCTATCAAGAAATAGAACTGCTACAACTCCTATCAAGGTTTATTTAAGATTGCAAAAGAGCTAAAATCTGATGTCACTGATTTTCCCTCAGCAACAGCAAAGCATTCAGCACGAGTGCTCACTACATGACATTAACTCGGACTCAGATGTCCAAAGCCAAGCCTTCTCCTGAAGCTCTTACCTACTACCCAACTCAATCAACATCTCCACACCCAAGGATGCAGAGGAAAACAAACAGGATGCTTTGCCCTGCTCCAAACCTCTGTCACTGGAAGAAATTCTTGTAATACGTGCAGGAGTTAAGCAGGAAAGTTTGGTCAGGATGCACCACATTTCCTACTTACCATACTGTGATGAGAAAACGTGCTCCCTGAAGCAGGCTGTGATATGGTGCTCTGCTTCGAGTTACTGAAAACCAGAGGCTGGGCAAGAGAAGGAGCCTGAGATGGATCCAGATTAGAGGAATCATTCTCCATTGAAGACGGTGTCTTCCCCAGTAGAACAGCAAGGTCAATTCTAGTGGAGAGGAAACAGGATCTTGATGAGTGATGACTGAACATTCTCACACTCAACATCCGACTCAGACTGCAGTTAAAGTGAAGACCAGTCCTCAGAAACACAAAGCCCTGAAATGCTCAATTTACCAAAACTAATTGATGTGTAGGAGCCACTACAGTATGTGTCCTAATGATGTTGCCAACCACAATGCTACTTGAATAGTTTGGTGAAATTAATTTAATGAAATGTCAAATGTTGGCTTTATTGCAGCAGCTCAGTAACTGGGCAAAATTTACTAATTTTATCCATGATTTCTTAATACTGAATACCTGTCATTAACAATGTTTAATATGTGAAACCATATACTAGAATGCTGGCATTTTCAAGTGCCTTTGGAACAACAAAGGTTTGGGTAATTTTTTCCTAACTTTTATAAAACTTCCAAAGTTACTTATGGTATAATAAAAATATACATCTGGGCTTGGCCCCCAGTTACTGTCACAGAGCTCTTAAAACTCTTATAATATCCTGGCAAGTCTTTTCTAATTTATAATGAGCCCCTTTCAACCATGAGGTCACACAGGGTGGGGCCTCCCACACAGCTCCAGAAGGGGATCTAGTGACCAGAAACACCAATAATATGACTAGAGAACTGGAACTTTCAGCCCCACCAGGTCCATCCACTCCTAAGGAGGAGGGCTGTACACCGAGTTCAATCGCCAATGACTTTAATCAATCATACCTATGTAATGAAACTTTGATAAAAACCCTGAACAATGATACGCGGTGAGCTTCTGGGTAGGTGGACACGTGGACGGGCTGGGAGAGCACCACATGCAGGAGGCATGCAAGCTCCATGCCTCAGCCCCACACCTGGCCCTACGCACATCCTCCAGTTGGCTCTTCCTGAGCACTGGTTTTAATAAACCAGTACTAACCAGTTAACTATTTTCTGAGTGAGTCATTCTAACAAATTATTGAACCTGAGGAGGGGGCTGTGGGAACACTTCCAACTTTGCAGCCAGAAGTGTGTGGGCAGCCCAGACACCTACTTGCAGCTGGCCTCTGAAGCGGGAGCAGCCTCATGAGCCATGGGCGTGCGTCTGCGCTACACCTGCGTAGTCGGTCTCAGAACTGGACTAAATTGCTGGACACCTAGTCGGTGTCAGAGTAGAGATGTGGTGTGGAAAAGCGAGATACTTGGTGTCAGAAAAAAAAATACACATTACACGAAAGCCCCAACACCTTATTCCTCTCACACTTCTCTTCAGGATCTTCTGAGTCAACAGCTACACACCCAGGTGTAGAAACAGCCCAAGAGGCTTCCGTCTATTGACCCCAATACCTCGGTTCAAGTTCTACCAAGTTCATTAGCCAGATCCTGGGAGGAAACGATCACTACACTCAGCGCACTTAGTGGACAAAGATCATTAATTATAAAGCGAGAAAAGCCACAGAACAGTTCTGCAAATTCAGAAGTAAATCAAAACGTCCACTTGTAGCTTTTCTTTCCTCCACTTACTGCAAGTTATAGCATGCGAAGTTTTAATCAATGCCTGTGATGTTGACCTATGGGATTAAAGGGCTATTTTAGGGGGAAACCAACTTTAAAATTGTAACATATCGACTTCCATTTAGTAGATTAGCCGGTATCAACTCATAAATCTATAGATCCGCTAAAGAAGAACCTACTGTGACCTGGTTTTCATGACTACCATCATCGCGGGGCGTGGAGGCCAGCACCACTCTTCCTTACAGGCATGTCAGCAGACCCCTTTTAGAAAAATACTGAATTTGACCACACACTTGCCTCTGACCAGCAGTGATTGTCACATTCTCTGCAGGCAGAGGCACTGAAGACACATTAGAGGCAGTGAAGATCTTGGTCTCAGAAAGCTGGAAAACAGAGGAATTAGTCACTCCTGGTGTTAGGTTATCGTCAGAATCCTGGCATAGGTAAAGGAAATTCAATATCAAGAAAGGAAACCCGTAGAAAACTATTCTGAGGACTCCTGAATAGGATTAACCTTCAAGCTCAATGATTTTATTAAAACTGAGAGCAGAACCAAGAAACCTCCCAAAATATGGCAGTCATATAATATGCACGCTAAACTTAGAGGAAGGTGACTACGCATGCTAGACAGAAAAAGCCCCTTTGTATTTTCTCCCATTACAGCTCCCCACCTCCATCTCTACCCAAATCATACTTTGTCTTTCACTGCTCTTCTCAAAGAAAGGAAGATGACAGCCAAGATAAGGACAGAAATAAAAGTTAATTCTTGGGCTTTTGAGCAATAAGGGCCCAAGTGCTGGTGAGTTGAGGTCTTTTCAGGGATAATTTTAACCATATGCAATTTTTGCCTTAATACTGACTTCATACACCTAGTCTCTCCATTACAAGACACTAAAATTGGTAAGCCATTACAGGAAATAATTGTTCATACTATTTAAAGTTGACTTGACTTTTTCAGTTTGACTTTTTGATTCGATTTCCTCCTCTAAAAACAGGGAATCCACTTGCCCGAATATATTATTCTGAAAGGTGCTTAAGCAGATGAGCCAAATCTTAGAAAATATTCACAAGGCAGTCTAGCTTAGCTATAACAGAAAATAATCACCCTGTGAGGCTGATGCATGATATTTTAAAAATGCAGATTTAGCAACCAAAAGTTTGACATATCATTTCTTCTTACCATAGAAGCTGCCTTGCCTGAATATGTTTGAGTATAAGAAAGTAGATGAAAAAGCATTAAAATCGGAGTTCATCCATGATCACTAGAAACTGTAATTCACAGCAAAAGTTTGACTGTGACCAGGAATCAGCAAAATTCTTTTACTCAGGTACTACTCCAGTGAATTCATACAGCTTGTTTACGTGCCACCTTGTGCCACCCATCTATGAGGTTTCCAAGTTGAGTCAAGCTGGAAGATAGCCAATTCTACATATTCATCTCAATTACAATTAAATAGTTGGGCTTCAAGTAAATTAAAAGGGTTCCAGAGCCAATCAGATTACAAACTTGAGAAGCTGGCACTGTAACTGTCCCTTCGTACCCACCTCCAAGCCAATTACAGGACCATACACCAATGTTTAAATGTGAACCAAACAACGGATCTGCTCCAGTAGAGTCACATGCCACCAGCAGCTGCTACTCAACGCACTACCTGCCTAACTCCATTTCCAGTGCCCTACCCAACCACCGTCTCTTCCTGGGATAAATCCGACAATCAGGTATTGGACTTACACAAGTGCACTTGCCCTTTCCATAGTCTGGCTCCACAGAGTCCTGTTCATGCCCAGTCTCCTTCATATAACATATGTCAAATGTTCTGGCTCAGAACACTATTTTGGATGTAAAAGTTTTGGGTCAGAATCTTAAGGATGAACTGTGAGGGGTAGAAACATGCCCATTTTCTATCCCTAAACACCACTTAGGGATAGAAGGCACTAAAGGAAAACGACCTGGAAATACCTACATCTTCATTCCAATCTTCAGTTCCCCACTCCTCGGTTGCAGTCCTCCACGCACCTGGGAATGCAGACAGTGATTTTGAGTGCCAGTGCACAGCGCGTGCGGAAAACTCTAACGTATTAACATTTTTGGTGGCCAAAAGAGCTACCAGAATTTAGTAATCAGAAGAAATTCTTGGGCTTCAGAGCAAGGAAGACTACGTAGTAAAGGAGACCTCAGAACACCAGGCTTTTAATAAGATTATGATTTCAGTTACTTTCAGTTTTGGTTACACGGCTACACAGTAAAGAGAGCGAGAGGCAGAAAATGCAGGGGAGAAAATGCAAACACGAGGAACAACAAACCCAGCACTCCAGGCGATCTCTTAAGACACTCAGTCCTCGGACCTGCTGGTCAATTCCGTGAAATGGCAACAGCCAACTTAAACCAGAACGAAACCCCGCCTGCTCCTCTGGTGTAAGACAGCACTGCAGCCAGTCTGAAGGGAGGGTGGCAGCAGTGATGGAGGAACTCAAACGGCGCCAACGTGACAGTGTGAGGGCAGTGAAGGGAGGCGCCAGATCCACACTGAGGGCCCTGACGACCACCTGCTACTGGACAGGAATTTAAAAACACACACTCAGCAGAAGTCAAGCTCACAGATCTTATTGATGTAACTATGAGGAATCCCTATGGATTTGCTCTTTTCAGAAGACGCTAGACGAGACTGAAAAACCAACCACATGTGACAGTTACTGTCCTAATCCTAATCACACAGAATGTGAAATCTGACCTGCCACAGTGAATGGGGGTGGACACTCTCCTCGTGTTGACAGCAACAAAGTGTGGATACAGTTTCTACAGGAGCAACCCATAAGCAATCAAAACACATTGCATTCCCCCTGCTGTGCTTCGTGTACGTGCAGAACCTCAGAAAGGGAAACTATATTTAAGGAATATGGGTGACTGGCAGAACCAAGATGCTTCCTGTCAACTGAAGGAGCCCAGGAAAAAATAAGAACTTATCTGCAGAAGGGACGAGAACATTCCTTATTTCCTTCTCCAGACCAACAGTTCAGATTGAATACAACCCTTAAAATTTTCTCTCCAAATGGAGAAAGTGTCTTACAAAAAAGAAAGTCTGGCATTCGAATGTCTCATCATCACTGAAAAGAAATATTCTAACACTTACAAAACCCATCCAAAATTCCTCTAAACATTTAATAATGAAAAATCCTATTTCCTAAAGAAAAGTATGTTCACTGTAATGCCGTTGCCAGGACAGTGTTAAAACTGCACCAGGGCAATTCCAGACAATAAACTGAAACCCAACCTCCGTTTAAATGAGTTACAAAGCACGTTTTCCTCTCTCTTCTCCCTCTCTCCACTGACATCCCTGGAACCTAGGGTCTGGGCAAACGTAGAGTTACGATCCCAGAGTTGGAAGTCACCTGAGAAGTTACCTACTGTTGAGAAGCTATCTCTCAACACAAGATTCCCGCTCTCCGCCCCCCTGCATTCTGGCAACTGCACCTGGGATGGAAAAGACTGCAGATTCCTAGTTGATATTTGCCCATACAGGAAATATGAAAATGACCGAGGAAGAGAGCTATAGTGAGAGAGCATTAAGAAAAGAGTACAAACACTCCAAGCAACAGATGAGGGTTTGCATCTCATCAGCGGAAAGCACAGGCAATGTATGCGTTAAACATTCAGTAAATGAACAAAATTTTCAGAAGCAAAAACGGGCACAGAAAATGTGAGAAAAAGGCAGAAAGAGAAAAAGCGGGAAGACGGAAAAATGACATATCCACAGATATTTCAGTTCATAAAAATCTATAAAAGTATCCGGGGCAGTTAGGCGCCTGGATGTATCATACCAGGAGCAGTCTCAAATTTTCGGGGATAATTTGACCCCTCAACCCCAATGAAATCAAGTCCTGAAACAAAAAGAAAAGAAAAGAAAAAAAAGAAAAAACAGTGAAATTTTGCTTGTGAATGAGAATGTCTGCCCCAATACACAATTCCCACTGCTACCTGTGGATATTTTAAGGGTAAGTTTAAATGTCTTTTTAAATTAAAAAGGGAATTTGAGTTTGCTATCGTGAAAACACAAGGGAGATTCATGCACAAAGGCGGGTTCACACTGTGAATTGACGATGACGGGAATGAGCTGTACCCAACACTTTCCCACTAAAAGAGGTAACAGCAGCAACACGTAACTTTTCATTCAGTCACGAACCAGAGATTTCTGATTCTAGCCCCCAAATCTGCTGTTCTCTCTACTAAGTAGAAATAAACATACACTTCATTCTTCCCAGATCCTGGTTGAAAATAGCTAAGGTTTACAATCCAGGACTGGGACTCCATGCCTGATTTTCGACCCACAACTGAACACAAATGCCCTCACTTCTATCATCTTTTCTGTTAATAATAAAAAGCCAAAATACCCGAGAACAAACTCGAGCTCAAAAACAGTAACTTTTGTTACTCAAACTGCTACCATTGCCTCTACAAAGCCATCAAGAGATGAACGAAGAACAGTTCTGCCTCGCAAGTATAGGAAGTTAAAACAGAAAAGGATGTCTCCTAGCCGAATGGTCGAGGGAATTCAGAAAGACATCCATCTGGCTAATAACTCTGGCTCCAGTCACAACCAAGGGGAAGTTGTGTTCAAAATGAGTTTATAAGCTAGCTTGGAAACAAAAGGCAAGTAACGTTCAGGACCTGAGGTATAACATCTTGTGGACAGTAGATGAGAAGCTGTTTGTACCAAAGACCCTCCTAAAGACACAGAGATAAAGATGGCTGACCTTTAAAAAGGGGCAGGGCAAATTTAAATGGACAAGGAATCCAGGGGCCTATTTCATGCTCCACTATTAGCTCAGCCCTCTTCGCAAGAGGAAAGCAGTCTCAGACTCTGCATGTGCTGGCTCAGCCAGAGGAGGCAGCTGATCTCACGAGAAGTACTCGGGAGCTCAAAGGCTGCTCTCACTTAGAACAGTAAAAGCATCTTACTCTCAAACACATCTCGTTTATCCCACAAGCCTAACGTATCTGTAAGTATATACACCCTACCCAGACAGAGGCACCAAAGTCAGCTAACAAAAAAAGCCATTTTATTAAAATCCTACTAACACGTTACTACACCCTGAAGAAAGTCCAACGAAGAGAGCTTGAAAGTCTCGAGATTTCCTTCTTGCCCAGATACTGAGATTTCCCAAAAATAAAAGGAAAAAAGATACTATCTCAGTACCAGAAAACGAACTGACAGTGGGCTTTGATTCTGAACCCTCTTCGTCTCTACAAGTAGTGGCCTAATTAATTCAAGATATCTTTTCAAAAGGCAAAGCTAGCTACCCTAACAGAAACACCAGGAAATACAACTGGCGCCAATGGCAGCCCCATGGTGTAACGGAAAGAGCACGGGCTCGGAGAGTCAAACCACTGAGGTCAAATACCAGCAAATTCCATA